ATTTGTTAGTAGTGTAAGTCGTGTAACTGTATTTGTTAGTAGTGTAAGTCGTTTAGATATTGTAATTTAAATAGTGTAAATAATTAGAGCAAGATAATGTAATAGAGCTAGTGTTGTAAGTAAGCAGTGTTTTCCCTTGTGTTATTGCAAATAAAAAAAAACCCTTAAAGGTTTAGTTGAAAGACACACACACACAGAGGCTGACCTTGTCTACTAGGGTCAATTATTATAGTGACATTACTTGTAGAGAGTGAAATAAACGTGCAACCGGTACAAGGTTGAGAGAATATGCATCATGAGGAATTGACAGTGTTTACCCCCCTCCCCCCACCCAGCCGAGGGCGAGCGAAATTTTTATACACTTTTCACATAATCCAAGTAGACCCTTTCATCATAGTTGACACAGGCCAGGGGATGGTTGTGAAGCGCGGCAAACATCAAAGGAACAAACAAAGATGCCAAGATTTATGTTGGAAGGTCCACGACTATGGACAATCTTTTGTTTTGAGCTCATACACTTCGCATGAGTTACGCAACCAAAGCGTTGTTATTGGTTGGTTCCTCTGTCAGTAGTAAACAACTATTGTGTTTTGTGCACGGTCAAGGCCAAAAAAGAGAACAAAAACATTCAACAAAGAACTTTGTCGAGTTTCATGACCATTCCCCTCGATTAAATATGCTTTCTTCGTTTTGCTCGCTTCGCTCGCCATCCCGCACCCGACCCTCGCGTGCTTCGCGCTCGCTTTGCAGGCTTTTTCTTTCGCGTGCGTTGAAAAATAGAGAGGCTGTGAAAAGTCTAAGGGTTATGCAAAGGCACTACTACGTGAAAATTTTCACGTGAGTTTACTGATCCAAAAGGTTCGTAATGATATTGCTTTTGTTATGACAACGTCTTTAAAGTGGGGAAGCGGGCTTGGGTGAGGCGGTGCGGAGTGAGTGTTCTGATCATTTTTGGATAACTCATTTGATTCTGATGTTGAAACCAGTGATTCTGCGGTAAATCATTCCAAAACTTACTCAAATTAAACAACTTTAAGAACAATTTAGGGAGATTGCCCCAATTTTTGAACCAAACCTAATTTGCGAAAGTGTCCGGAGCAAATTCGATTGCTTATTGTTCGAAATGCTTTATGTCAAGAAACTCAGGCCTACCTTGAATACCAAGACGGACTCAATACGTAGGAAACTTTTTGTTTAACAAGTAGCATTTTCTTTGTTACTATTTCTTAACAAGCAACCATTGCTCTTATTAGTATTTTAAGATCATGTAATTTCTTAACTTTTTGACTTAATAATAATGTCGTGAAAACGTCGAAGCGTCGTCTAGCTTTTGAGCTCTTTTAGCTTTTTTATAATGTTTCTAAAACACTGAAGTATTTTATCGCAGTCTTTTATAGCTAAATGTTTTTCAAAACCTATCCTTCTCGATCGTAAAGCTAGTTTCAAGGATTTTCCCTTGAAGCGCTTAACTACCGGGGTATTTGATTATTTCAGATAAAGATTAATAAACCGCCTTAGCGTTTCCAGGGGTTTCCAGTGTTAGCCAGCACATGCTAACACTCGAATCGTTTACAGCTTCACTAACTCGGTTAACTAACCTTTATCAACTTCAGCCAGTGCAAGTTGATAAATCACCGACTGTAGCTAAATGTTTCATTCGTCTCCTACACAGAACCCGAGACCCCACGAGTCTAAACTAAAGTACCTTGAACACGAAAAAACAGTATACATGCACTCAGACCACCAGGTGTTTGGAGTCCTTGGTAAAATTTATTTAATGATATCTTACTAGTCATCCCTTGCTGTTAATCTTTAACACGCGCTTGTAGAAAAGCAGTAGGTGCCCATGGTTTAAGTGTCAAAGCCATGCCAATTTTATACGAAAATTTACGCCGAGTTGATCCCAAGAAAGGATCAGCTGAATACAAACAATTACAAACAGACAACAACATTTGCATCCGGTCGGTTTATTTTTCATTATATTCACAAGAATTTTCAATTCGAAACCCCCGACAATTTTGCTGTATGAAGGAGTTTATAAGAAAGAACTGGAAAAGGGGTTTGCTATTTCTTGATGAGGAGCTTTCTAAACCCCTGCTATACCCAGGACCGGCGTCGAGGACGGTAAGAGAAGTTACATAATTATGTCGGTATTTTATTTTACCGGCCTTCTTTTCGGAATATAAATAACCCAACACTATTGTACTCGTTCGTTGGCGTTTATAAAACTGAATAAACAAAAAGACATCACTTTTTTTCTCTTCTCTACTATTAATAAAAACGCATCCATTTATACAATTCTGGCAGGTGATTCAATTCAAATCCGTCAAATTTCATGATCTTTATCGGGTAATATTAATTACAACAACCTTTGCAGATACTAATTTTTTTTTTCATAACGGATGTACATAGTGGGTTTAAAAAGCAAAGCTGAATTCTGAAAAAACAAATGTCTAAAGCTACATATTGTCAAGACTCAATGCCGTTTTGACGACTTAATCCCGTAAATCCTTATGAATTAATTACAAAATTTTTCAATTCTACGTTGTCGAGTTTGCGTCAAGTTTTATCTAAACAAACCGGGGTAATTAGAAACCGCGAGTTATTTTGCCAAGTGGGCAACGATAATTCTGCTACTGACCGGTGGGGCGTGCAATTTTCTCTGCACGAAAGCGAGACACCGCCGGCAGCTCTCTCACAACTTTCGCAATTGTCATGAAAACACTTGAGGTTTAGTCGATAAAATGGATGTCTTGAAGGATTTAGAGACGAAAACAGAACAGGAGCTTCATGATATCACGATATCGACGTACCAAGTAAGATAAACGTCGTTTTCTTTCGCTTCGGCAAACTTGAAGGTGTGTTGACTGCTTGCTTCTAATCATAGAATGTCATTGACCTATCCCCGCTGCTGAAAGAGCTCTCTACAAACGCCAAGAATTACCTCAAATCATTGCAAAGTAAGTATTTCTTTGTGCCTTTTCATTGAAGAGAATATAATTTTTACTTCTCTTTTTGGAGATTGGTAGCATTGATATCTCACTTTTTCACGTCGTTGTGCGGTAATTTTTTTTGTCGTCAGATGTCGGACAAACTGCATTTTCATTCTTCGATTCCCTTGGTAAAGTCTCACAAATGGCGACCCAGTCCAAAGGAATTGCATCTTCACTTGGTAAGAAGTTAATGCCAGTGTATGAAGATTTCTAGTAAAGACGGTTTGTGTGTTCAGGATTCTTTAATTGTTATCGTAACTTGGTTTGAGTTGTTTAAGCTTTAACGCAAGAATAATTTGTGGACGTTCGATTTTCGAAGACTAACAGCTGTGGAGAGGAGTCCAGCTAGGCCGTGAAAATTAATTTTTACCCTTGAGCAATCGAGCATGGAACGGCAATAGAAGTGATTAGCTTAAAATGGTGTGCTTAATAACCGTAAACGCCCGAGTCTAATTCAAATATTCAAGCCTATTCAACAGAAACATCGTAATCTAATGAAGAGTTCTAGGTTCATTCCCAACGCATGTTATGTAAGCTTATTCGTAACGTCCTAAAACGATAAGAAGTGCTTCCAAATATCGTGGAAAACCTTCCTGTAAATGAAAAACCAATTCAGTCATGGTAAATTATGAATCAGAGAAAACAATACTTAATACGATGCATCGATCGATGAGTGCCTCTCACAGATATTTATAGCCATGAATAAATGTATTAAAGCTTTGTATTGCTTCTAATTTGAAGATACAAGTAATTAGGGCTTTTGAACCGAAAATGATAATATCTTACGTGAATATATCGCACAGACTGTCTCAGGATCACTTCTGTGTGGTTCATAAGTAGAAAAGTGTAAAGAAATCTTAGATTGTCGAAGAAATAATATTGTAGCAATAAACATTCCACAGGCTCTCTGTAAACACTTCAGCAAAAACATCATATGATAAAGTTTACAATTTAGTGACAAACTTTATATTTAAGTATTTTAACATTACAATTTATGACACTGTTTAATGTTGACTGGTAATTAACCAGTAAAGACAACTTTTCTTGCTCAAGGTCTGCATGTTTTTTATTAACTAAACAACAAAATAAACTATTTAAAATCTAAAACCAAGAATGAAAGCAGAATAGGGTGATATCTTTTATTCCAGTAATTCCTTTATACAGGAAAGCTGGAAGGAGAATATTGTTTAAACTCAAGTATGTTTTAGTGCCTGATACAAACTGTTACAAGTTATTGCCTCTTAACTCTTATGGCAGGTTCTCACTAGTGCATAAACAGAAGCCGACATACCCAGATGCCCTAAGGCCAAGTTCAGATGCCGTACTTCACATGAACCTAATCAAATGCAAATGAGAAAATCCTTTGCTCTCCCTCATTAGCATTCCAATTCGGCTCATGTGAAGTACGGCATCTGAACTTGACCTAAGATGCTCATAATTAACACCTTTTGTTTGAAATTTTCCAAACAAAAGGCGCTAATTATCAGCATCTAATTACATCTACATATGTCGGCTTCTGCTAATGCACTAGTAAGGACCAGCCTTTAAACATTAAAACTTATTTTATTGAAAGAAACTAATTAAAACTTTTATAATGAATCAGTCTTGTAAGACATACCCTGCTTACCCTAGATAATGCTGTTATCAAAAAGCAGTAAAACAAAGCTATTGAACAAAGATATTTGAGCACTGAGGGGTTGAAAAGGCTTAATCCAGGCAAGGGGGCCAAGTTTCCTGTTGATCCTATTGTGAATGTGATCCACATGAAATTTCTGTGTAATAGTCCACCAAAATAAGAGAATGAGTTTACTTCCTCTGAGGGCTTGCTACCAGCCAAAATCACAAGCTTGATTAGGTGAGCAGTGGTGCTGCGTAACATAGAATATTGATGCTCTTTGTTCAAGGTGAACCAGTAAGCTTGCATCCAGATGCCATCATTTCCCTTTGCTCCCCTTTCCTTCACCCTCCATCCCCCTTCTCTTGGTCTCTGTAATGATACAATTCTGGATCGTAACACAATGATATTATTGTTACCTCACTGCTTAACTTGTAAGCAGTAATCTAAGATTAGGACATCCATTGTGTTACACTTTCTGAGTGACTTTTAGATGGCACCATAAAATACCAGTTAAAAGCCCACCTCCCCCTCAACTTGAAAATAAGTCCCACCCAAAAATAATCCCTCAATTTTGTAAGATGCAAAATGCTTTCAACGTAAAAATGAAAAAAAGGCCTTCCAGAAAGTGCCTGTTAAACAGAAATTTGACTAAGTTGTGTTAATTGTAATGTTTCAATGTTACAGTAAACTTCAGTCAGTAGTTAATTTCATTTTCAGGGTGGCCCGAGTGCTACACACAGCATTCTATATTCACTACACATTTGAGCGTTCAACTCATGATTTGTACGTAATCAGGCATAAAGCCACTTTCCACTGGTCTCAATGTTTGTATGCCAGAATCTTTGTACTAAATAACAGAAGTGTACATATTAGATAATCAAGTTAAGGTCTTGAATTGGTTTTTATTGTTTCATGCAGGGGAAGCTATAACGGATTTGGTAACTGTGAAGAGAGTCATAGAAACAAGGCATCTTGATGTGGTATGTTTAAGTTAGCAATGATATAAATTATTAATAATATTATTATTACTGAACAAGCTTGTTTGGTTTAGGAGGCTGGATTTCGGCCTCATTCTGTGGACTGAGGAGCATAAACACTCAGAAAAAGAATGTGACCAAAATTCAGGCATCTTGACTTTACGTTTGGTCAGTAGCCCATAATATATTTATTAACTGGGGAAAATATTTCCAAGTTCTATGAACTGAACAGGAGTCGAACCTATTTAGCCAACTTTCTGCACAGCGGTCAAATGCTTTACCATACACTAGGACACTCTGGGGTGCTAGGTCGCCTTCAATACATTTATAAGCCAGAGGAACAACAATCAAGCTTTTTTTTGCTTGAATAAAATGTTTCTTTAATAGATAGGTAAAGTTGATCATGACTAGTTTACTCTTGTCTTCTCTTAATTAAAATGTGTTGTGTAACTGAGGATTGTTGAAATTTGATGTGTCCATGCTTTTTCAAAAAAGACTTGATCTTCATAGTAGACCATATTGATAAGAAAAAAGTAAAATTTGAAAATTGTCAATAAATGTTTCAGAGATGATGTGATGATCTTAATTTTGTGTAATCCTTTTCAAGGCTGTAACATTGTGTGTGATTAACTTTTTGATAATCCTGGTCATAAATATTGACACCTTATTGTAAAAACATAGTTGAGGTACAAGTAGTATATGACCCTAAAAAAACAATATCTAAGGCATTTGTTTATCTATTTGTTTTATTGGGTGGAATAATTACGGTGTGGATTACAATCACAATAATTTATTATGAAATCCTAGCCCTAGAGTGTATATATAATAAATAATCAGTTTGGATAAAGGAAGCAAAATATTGTTTTTGCACCAATGCAAGCAGTGTGCACAGAAGAAAGCCAAATATTTTTGCTGATTGAACAAAATTTAAAGTAATGCTTGCTGAAGCATTTATCATGTTGAAGTTTTTTCCCTTTATTTAATTTGATCATTATTTAAACTTGAGTAACCATTTGAGTAGAATAAATGGGAAATTATTAAAAGTTTTTATTTGAATGANGCTTTCTTCGTTTTGCTCGCTTCGCTCGCCATCCCGCACCCGACCCTCGCGTGCTTCGCGCTCGCTTTGCAGGCTTTTTCTTTCGCGTGCGTTGAAAAATAGAGAGGCTGTGAAAAGTCTAAGGGTTATGCAAAGGCACTACTACGTGAAAATTTTCACGTGAGTTTACTGATCCAAAAGGTTCGTAATGATATTGCTTTTGTTATGACAACGTCTTTAAAGTGGGGAAGCGGGCTTGGGTGAGGCGGTGCGGAGTGAGTGTTCTGATCATTTTTGGATAACTCATTTGATTCTGATGTTGAAACCAGTGATTCTGCGGTAAATCATTCCAAAACTTACTCAAATTAAACAACTTTAAGAACAATTTAGGGAGATTGCCCCAATTTTTGAACCAAACCTAATTTGCGAAAGTGTCCGGAGCAAATTCGATTGCTTATTGTTCGAAATGCTTTATGTCAAGAAACTCAGGCCTACCTTGAATACCAAGACGGACTCAATACGTAGGAAACTTTTTGTTTAACAAGTAGCATTTTCTTTGTTACTATTTCTTAACAAGCAACCATTGCTCTTATTAGTATTTTAAGATCATGTAATTTCTTAACTTTTTGACTTAATAATAATGTTGTGAAAACGTCGAAGCGTCGTCTAGCTTTTGAGCTCTTTTAGCTTTTTTATAATGTTTCTAAAACACTGAAGTATTTTATCGCAGTCTTTTATAGCTAAATGTTTTTCAAAACCTATCCTTCTCGATCGTAAAGCTAGTTTCAAGGATTTTCCCTTGAAGCGCTTAACTACCGGGGTATTTGATTATTTCAGATAAAGATTAATAAACCGCCTTAGCGTTTCCAGGGGTTTCCAGTGTTAGCCAGCACATGCTAACACTCGAATCGTTTACAGCTTCACTAACTCGGTTAACTAACCTTTATCAACTTCAGCCAGTGCAAGTTGATAAATCACCGACTGTAGCTAAATGTTTCATTCGTCTCCTACACAGAACCCGAGACCCCACGAGTCTAAACTAAAGTACCTTGAACACGAAAAAACAGTATACATGCACTCAGACCACCAGGTGTTTGGAGTCCTTGGTAAAATTTATTTAATGATATCTTACTAGTCATCCCTTGCTGTTACTCTTTAACACGCGCTTGTAGAAAAGCAGTAGGTGCCCATGGTTTAAGTGTCAAAGCCATGCCAATTTTATACGAAAATTTACGCCGAGTTGATCCCAAGAAAGGATCAGCTGAATACAAACAATTACAAACAGACAACAACATTTGCATCCGGTCGGTTTATTTTTCATTATATTCACAAGAATTTTCAATTCGAAACCCCCGACAATTTTGCTGTATGAAGGAGTTTATAAGAAAGAACTGGAAAAGGGGTTTGCTATTTCTTGATGAGGAGCTTTCTAAACCCCTGCTATACCCAGGACCGGCGTCGAGGACGGTAAGAGAAGTTACATAATTATGTCGGTATTTTATTTTACCGGCCTTCTTTTCGGAATATAAATAACCCAACACTATTGTACTCGTTCGTTGGCGTTTATAAAACTGAATAAACAAAAAGACATCACTTTTTTTCTCTTCTCTACTATTAATAAAAACGCATCCATTTATACAATTCTGGCAGGTGATTCAATTCAAATCCGTCAAATTTCATGATCTTTATCGGGTAATATTAATTACAACAACCTTTGCAGATACTAATTTTTTTTTTCATAACGGATGTACATAGTGGGTTTAAAAAGCAAAGCTGAATTCTGAAAAAACAAATGTCTAAAGCTACATATTGTCAAGACTCAATGCCGTTTTGACGACTTAATCCCGTAAATCCTTATGAATTAATTACAAAATTTTTCAATTCTACGTTGTCGAGTTTGCGTCAAGTTTTATCTAAACAAACCGGGGTAATTAGAAACCGCGAGTTATTTTGCCAAGTGGGCAACGATAATTCTGCTACTGACCGGTGGGGCGTGCAATTTTCTCTGCACGAAAGCGAGACACCGCCGGCAGCTCTCTCACAACTTTCGCAATTGTCATGAAAACACTTGAGGTTTAGTCGATAAAATGGATGTCTTGAAGGATTTAGAGACGAAAACAGAACAGGAGCTTCATGATATCACGATATCGACGTACCAAGTAAGATAAACGTCGTTTTCTTTCGCTTCGGCAAACTTGAAGGTGTGTTGACTGCTTGCTTCTAATCATAGAATGTCATTGACCTATCCCCGCTGCTGAAAGAGCTCTCTACAAACGCCAAGAATTACCTCAAATCATTGCAAAGTAAGTATTTCTTTGTGCCTTTTCATTGAAGAGAATATAATTTTTACTTCTCTTTTTGGAGATTGGTAGCATTGATATCTCACTTTTTCACGTCGTTGTGCGGTAATTTTTTTTGTCGTCAGATGTCGGACAAACTGCATTTTCATTCTTCGATTCCCTTGGTAAAGTCTCACAAATGGCGACCCAGTCCAAAGGAATTGCATCTTCACTTGGTAAGAAGTTAATGCCAGTGTATGAAGATTTCTAGTAAAGACGGTTTGTGTGTTCAGGATTCTTTAATTGTTATCGTAACTTGGTTTGAGTTGTTTAAGCTTTAACGCAAGAATAATTTGTGGACGTTCGATTTTCGAAGACTAACAGCTGTGGAGAGGAGTCCAGCTAGGCCGTGAAAATTAATTTTTACCCTTGAGCAATCGAGCATGGAACGGCAATAGAAGTGATTAGCTTAAAATGGTGTGCTTAATAACCGTAAACGCCCGAGTCTAATTCAAATATTCAAGCCTATTCAACAGAAACATCGTAATCTAATGAAGAGTTCTAGGTTCATTCCCAACGCATGTTATGTAAGCTTATTCGTAACGTCCTAAAACGATAAGAAGTGCTTCCAAATATCGTGGAAAACCTTCCTGTAAATGAAAAACCAATTCAGTCATGGTAAATTATGAATCAGAGAAAACAATACTTAATACGATGCATCGATCGATGAGTGCCTCTCACAGATATTTATAGCCATGAATAAATGTATTAAAGCTTTGTATTGCTTCTAATTTGAAGATACAAGTAATTAGGGCTTTTGAACCGAAAATGATAATATCTTACGTGAATATATCGCACAGACTGTCTCAGGATCACTTCTGTGTGGTTCATAAGTAGAAAAGTGTAAAGAAATCTTAGATTGTCGAAGAAATAATATTGTAGCAATAAACATTCCACAGGCTCTCTGTAAACACTTCAGCAAAAACATCATATGATAAAGTTTACAATTTAGTGACAAACTTTATATTTAAGTATTTTAACATTACAATTTATGACACTGTTTAATGTTGACTGGTAATTAACCAGTAAAGACAACTTTTCTTGCTCAAGGTCTGCATGTTTTTTATTAACTAAACAACAAAATAAACTATTTAAAATCTAAAACCAAGAATGAAAGCAGAATAGGGTGATATCTTTTATTCCAGTAATTCCTTTATACAGGAAAGCTGGAAGGAGAATATTGTTTAAACTCAAGTATGTTTTAGTGCCTGATACAAACTGTTACAAGTTATTGCCTCTTAACTCTTATGGCAGGTTCTCACTAGTGCATAAACAGAAGCCGACATACCCAGATGCCCTAAGGCCAAGTTCAGATGCCGTACTTCACATGAACCTAATCAAATGCAAATGAGAAAATCCTTTGCTCTCCCTCATTAGCATTCCAATTCGGCTCATGTGAAGTACGGCATCTGAACTTGACCTAAGATGCTCATAATTAACACCTTTTGTTTGAAATTTTCCAAACAAAAGGCGCTAATTATCAGCATCTAATTGCGTCTACATATGTCGGCTTCTGCTAATGCACTAGTAAGGACCAGCCTTTAAACATTAAAACTTATTTTATTGAAAGAAACTAATTAAAACTTTTGTAATGAATCAGTCTTGTAAGACATACCCTGCTTACCCTAGATAATGCTGTTATCAAAAAGCAGTAAAACAAAGCTATTGAACAAAGATATTTGAGCACTGAGGGGTTGAAAAGGCTTAATCCAGGCAAGGGGGCCAAGTTTCCTGTTGATCCTATTGTGAATGTGATCCACATGAAATTTCTGTGTAATAGTCCACCAAAATAAGAGAATGAGTTTACTTCCTCTGAGGGCTTGCTACCAGCCAAAATCACAAGCTTGATTAGGTGAGCAGTGGTGCTGCGTAACATAGAATATTGATGCTCTTTGTTCAAGGTGAACCAGTAAGCTTGCATCCAGATGCCATCATTTCCCTTTGCTCCCCTTTCCTTCACCCTCCATCCCCCTTCTCTTGGTCTCTGTAATGATACAATTCTGGATCGTAACACAATGATATTATTGTTACCTCACTGCTTAACTTGTAAGCAGTAATCTAAGATTAGGACATCCATTGTGTTACACTTTCTGAGTGACTTTTAGATGGCACCATAAAATACCAGTTAAAAGCCCACCTCCCCCTCAACTTGAAAATAAGTCCCACCCAAAAATAATCCCTCAATTTTGTAAGATGCAAAATGCTTTCAACGTAAAAATGAAAAAAAGGCCTTCCAGAAAGTGCCTGTTAAACAGAAATTTGACTAAGTTGTGTTAATTGTAATGTTTCAATGTTACAGTAAACTTCAGTCAGTAGTTAATTTCATTTTCAGGGTGGCCCGAGTGCTACACACAGCATTCTATATTCACTACACATTTGAGCGTTCAACTCATGATTTGTACGTAATCAGGCATAAAGCCACTTTCCACTGGTCTCAATGTTTGTATGCCAGAATCTTTGTACTAAATAACAGAAGTGTACATATTAGATAATCAAGTTAAGGTCTTGAATTGGTTTTTATTGTTTCATGCAGGGGAAGCTATAACGGATTTGGTAACTGTGAAGAGAGTCATAGAAACAAGGCATCTTGATGTGGTATGTTTAAGTTAGCAATGATATAAATTATTAATAATATTATTATTACTGAACAAGCTTGTTTGGTTTAGGAGGCTGGATTTCGGCCTCATTCTGTGGACTGAGGAGCATAAACACTCAGAAAAAGAATGTGACCAAAATTCAGGCATCTTGACTTTACGTTTGGTCAGTAGCCCATAATATATTTATTAACTGGGGAAAATATTTCCAAGTTCTATGAACTGAACAGGAGTCGAACCTATTTAGCCAACTTTCTGCACAGCGGTCAAATGCTTTACCATACACTAGGACACTCTGGGGTGCTAGGTCGCCTTCAATACATTTATAAGCCAGAGGAACAACAATCAAGCTTTTTTTTGCTTGAATAAAATGTTTCTTTAATAGATAGGTAAAGTTGATCATGACTAGTTTACTCTTGTCTTCTCTTAATTAAAATGTGTTGTGTAACTGAGGATTGTTGAAATTTGATGTGTCCATGCTTTTTCAAAAAAGACTTGATCTTCATAGTAGACCATATTGATAAGAAAAAAGTAAAATTTGAAAATTGTCAATAAATGTTTCAGAGATGATGTGATGATCTTAATTTTGTGTAATCCTTTTCAAGGCTGTAACATTGTGTGTGATTAACTTTTTGATAATCCTGGTCATAAATATTGACACCTTATTGTAAAAACATAGTTGAGGTACAAGTAGTATATGACCCTAAAAAAACAATATCTAAGGCATTTGTTTATCTATTTGTTTTATTGGGTGGAATAATTACGGTGTGGATTACAATCACAATAATTTATTATGAAATCCTAGCCCTAGAGTGTATATATAATAAATAATCAGTTTGGATAAAGGAAGCAAAATATTGTTTTTGCACCAATGCAAGCAGTGTGCACAGAAGAAAGCCAAATATTTTTGCTGATTGAACAAAATTTAAAGTAATGCTTGCTGAAGCATTTATCATGTTGAAGTTTTTTCCCTTTATTTAATTTGATCATTATTTAAACTTGAGTAACCATTTGAGTAGAATAAATGGGAAATTATGAAAAGTTTTTATTTGAATGACTTGATAAACTGGAAAGCTATCACAAATTATTAGCTTAAAATAAATACTAGCATTCAAGATAACTGTTTGTATGTCTCAAATATGCCATACTGATGATCAGGTAACCATCTCAACGTTTATTTTTCTGAATGTTGGAGCACTCTTTATGGGACACAGTTGACGTGACAGTTAAACCAAAGTTCTACACAGCAATTCTCAAACAGTCATATGCATTGCCATAAATAACACCTACTGTTTATTGTTTTAAAGTTTGACCTTGACTCAGGTTTTCTTTGTAAATTATATTTTTCAATAATATTCAGACTTTGACAAATGCTCGTAACAGAACCTGAAAGTCGGGTATAAAACTGATCTGGATTTAATTTATTTTTTGGAGCTTTAACACATGTATCTTTATTTATTCATAAACTAGGAACATAATGATCTAGAATTAATTATTAATTGCACAGATTATCTATGCAAAGAAGAGAAAATGTATATGATATATAGACTGTCAGATAATTTCTAAACCCCACTCCAAGCTTCTCTCAAAAATGCATTGCACTGTCTTATACTTTTGTGAGGTTTTGCAAATCACATATTATGAGCTTACACACTTACTGGCTGAGAGGGAAAACAGGGCGGCAGAAGCTACATGTAAGCTACAGCATGCTAGACAACAATGTGTTTTATCATTATACATAAAACCACCAGGACTTGAGCGAGCCAGTTTTACTTTAAAATTGAACAGTTGTATGTAAAAACAAAATGTTTTGAATTATCTCATTAATGGTCAGCTGGACGCAGTGACAAGCTCATGTCAAACTGTTCAAACCGGGTCACTCACATCAGCTGTGCTCTTGAGTTCTATTGGATTGTATTAATTAGGAGAAAAATTGGATGGTAAGAATTCTCCCTCGCATTATTAAACATTTATCATTTTTTAATCAATACATGTACATGTACTTAGTGGTTAAGATGAAATGTCAAATAGTTTGTCTACTTTTTAGTTAAAGTACCTTCAGAATGACCTCATAACTCCATTGGAAAGGCTTGTTGAGTTCGATGTTCTGAACATCAAGGTAAACCGAATATTACTTGATCGATTCACGAGTATCAGATTGTACAAATTCTTACAGTGTATAAAAAATTGTTTTTTTTTTGTTTTTTTTTCAGTAATTTTTAATTTGCAAAACACGATAATTACATATTTCATTGCTTACGATACAAGTCTGTGAAACTGCTGACATTACAATACTCTGCTTACAGAACCTTTCCTACAATATTTACCAAGGCTCGAAATTAAAAAAAAATTCCAAGTCGCCTTTTGGCAACTATCAAAAACAAATTGGTCACCAAATGCAAATCGCAATTTCGAGCCCTGTTTACAATTAATACAGGTTACATGCGCAGAAAATACAAAATTTACTCAAGTACAATACTGGCTACTTACCTTTAGCTACTAAAAATATTTACCGGGTATTATGCAGGTGCCATTTAGTATCTTTATTGATTCTTATTAAGTACTTATTTAAAGAGTTTGCTTGTTATTATAATGAATTCTTATACTTGTACCTATATGTATGTTAATAAAAGGCGCTTTAGTTTGGGATATAGATTTAGTAAGCAGAGAAATATTATTACATGTAATGAAATGAAATTCATTTTAGTATATGTGATGCTTAACAGCAGCACATATACTAAAATTGGAACGATAAAGAGAAGATTAGCATGGCCCTGCGTAAGGATGACATGCGAATTCGTGAAGCATTCCAAATTTTTTTAAGGGAGGCGCACTCATCTCTGGATCGAGCGGTCCAGGTTCGAGCCCTGGCTGGGGACATTGTGTTGTGTACTTGGGTAAGACACTTAACTCTCACAGTGCCTCTCTCTACCCAGGTGTATAAATGGATACCAGCGAACTTAATGCTGGGGTAACCCCGCGATGGACTAGCAACCCATCCAGGGGGGAGTAGAAATACTCCTAGTCACTTCATGCTACGGAAACCGGGACAAGCTCCGGCCTGATGGGCCACTTGGCTTGTATACAGACTTTACCTACCAGACAAAAATAACAAAATTAATGTGAGCTGCATTTGTACCAATCTCCAGGAAATAATATTTATTAGCTAATTTTTGATATATTGAGACACATACTGGATGTGGTTGTCCAAATCTTCCTTGGTAGCTAAAATGTTTTTGTGCTTAACTATCCTTCCTACTAGAAATAGTTNTGCAGTCTTGTAAAAGGAAAGGGCCAAATTGGCCCTTATTTCATTTTTCTGGGGGCCATCCCTGAGTGTAACGCGGGATTCCCGCAATGGCACGCTGTAGCGGAAACACTGTAGCTGCAAGCGAGGTAAATGGAAGTGTCGTGATAGCATGACATTTCATATTAAAGTTGACAGCTAGGATCATGAGATTCGTAAACATTGTAATCGGAGACACGAGTGATTTGCGAAATAGGTTTTTTTTAGAGAACACAGAAAATAGGACACGTTGTAACACTGGAAGAGAATTAAACAAGGATTTGTCGAGTACAAGTGAGTTGTGACTGTGCGAGTTAAGGTGTACCCCACAAGTTTGGTTCAGAGGTCAACTTTTGCCAATCTTTAATTAGTTTACAAGGAGTTGTGATTTTTTTCAGTGCAGTAAATTATACTGACTTTAACTGGGCCGGGAAGATGGGTTTTATCCCCATGCCAAACTTTTGAATTGCTCGAAATAAGCAGTCATCGAGTCCTTCGATTTTACAGGGGAACTATTAAGAAAAAAAATAATTAAGAGCCTGCTTTCCTGAGAGTCAAAACAACGGGCAACTGGGAGCCAAAAAAAATAAATTATGAATCTTTCATGGCGGTGCTTCTCGATATATCATCTTTATATTTACCTAAAATTTGCCTCACTTGAACGTTTCCCTGTTTATATTTGGATGTTAGTCAATTTTACATACCGGTAATCAACATTTTGATACGAAAATTTGCGAGGGAAACTCAAAATTTCACTCTTATCTGAAACTACTTAAGAGTAAGATTGAAACTCAGCATATATGACAGTAGTACAGTTATATAAATAAGCAAGGATAAAATCTGAGAGGTACATTGTGGAACTGGAGGGTTGATTATTCCCCACATCACCAAAGGCAGTCAATAACCTTTATCCTAGTGCAGTTTCCATAGCATAAAGCAACTAGATGAGATGCTAGCTAACAGATTACGTCTTGTTCATAATATTTAAGAAATAGAAAACATGTACCGTGTTTCTATTGAGTCATAGAAACACAAGTGGAAGTTTGGGAGAACGAGAAATGCTGTGGGAACACGAGCCGGAGGCGAGTGTTTCCACAATGTTTTCGAGTTCTTCCAAACTTTCACGAGTGTTTCAGTCTATAACTCTATAGAAACGTGGGGGAACATGTTTTCTATTTCTTTTAGGAAACACCATGACGATAAAAAGGAAAACAACTTGTTAACTCTGATTATCAAAATGTAAATTCTCTTTGCTTGCGTCATCATTACATCAACAGCTCATGCTAATTCTGTGTTTCTATTGAGTTATAGAAACATGGTTTTTAACCGATCAGCGCATGTATTTTCTTAGAACTGTTTTCTAAATTGATATCTAAAACTCTTGTAGAGTGGAGAAAGGCACTGTAATATTGAATGTCTTTTCCAAGACCACAAGATAGTGAGCCTCCCTCCTTTTGCAATAGCCATTTTCAGTCCACATTCAGTGCTCTCCTTTTTAGGCAGTAACCGGTAAAATTTGCTGCCTGTAGCACCACTCATTACCGCCTAAAATCCCTTGGAATTCATGAAATCACGAAATGCTCCACATTCAGGTCAAAAGTGTTTAAAATCTATTTTCAGACGACGTTTTGAGAGAATTCTTGACAATAACACCCTTCCAGAACGTGAATGAAAACGAACATGCAGCGATTTCGTTTGGTTTTGAGAGACGGCCGCTGATTTTGTAGTGACACTTCATGTAAGCACAGCGAGGATACCCTGGAAGTGGCTTTTGCCTATTTTTTTGTGACTTTAGGGCAAGAAAATTAAGACAAAGAACAAAACACTTAAAAATGAAAATGCTCTTTGATTTCATTTGACATCTAAAGCCAAAGGTGTAAAATTAGTAAACTGTAATGCATATTAGATGGAGGTCTTTTCAAAGAAAATGTTTTTATTAGGAANATAACCGTAAACGCCCGAGTCTAATTCAAATATTCAAGCCTATTCAACAGAAACATCGTAATCTAATGAAGAGTTCTAGGTTCATTCCCAACGCATGTTATGTAAGCTTATTCGTAACGTCCTAAAACGATAAGAAGTGCTTCCAAATATCGTGGAAAACCTTCCTGTAAATGAAAAACCAATTCAGTCATGGTAAATTATGAATCAGAGAAAACAATACTTAATACGATGCATCGATCGATGAGTGCCTCTCACAGATATTTATAGCCATGAATAAATGTATTAAAGCTTTGTATTGCTTCTAATTTGAAGATACAAGTAATTAGGGCTTTTGAACCGAAAATGATAATATCTTACGTGAATATATCGCACAGACTGTCTCAGGATCACTTCTGTGTGGTTCATAAGTAGAAAAGTGTAAAGAAATCTTAGATTGTCGAAGAAATAATATTGTAGCAATAAACATTCCACAGGCTCTCTGTAAACACTTCAGCAAAAACATCATATGATAAAGTTTACAATTTAGTGACAAACTTTATATTTAAGTATTTTAACATTACAATTTATGACACTGTTTAATGTTGACTGGTAATTAACCAGTAAAGACAACTTTTCTTGCTCAAGGTCTGCATGTTTTTTATTAACTAAACAACAAAATAAACTATTTAAAATCTAAAACCAAGAATGAAAGCAGAATAGGGTGATATCTTTTATTCCAGTAATTCCTTTATACAGGAAAGCTGGAAGGAGAATATTGTTTAAACTCAAGTATGTTTTAGTGCCTGATACAAACTGTTACAAGTTATTGCCTCTTAACTCTTATGGCAGGTTCTCACTAGTGCATAAACAGAAGCCGACATACCCAGATGCCCTAAGGCCAAGTTCAGATGCCGTACTTCACATGAACCTAATCAAATGCAAATGAGAAAATCCTTTGCTCTCCCTCATTAGCATTCCAATTCGGCTCATGTGAAGTACGGCATCTGAACTTGACCTAAGATGCTCATAATTAACACCTTTTGTTTGAAATTTTCCAAACAAAAGGCGCTAATTATCAGCATCTAATTGCGTCTACATATGTCGGCTTCTGCTAATGCACTAGTAAGGACCAGCCTTTAAACATTAAAACTTATTTTATTGAAAGAAACTAATTAAAACTTTTGTAATGAATCAGTCTTGTAAGACATACCCTGCTTACCCTAGATAATGCTGTTATCAAAAAGCAGTAAAACAAAGCTATTGAACAAAGATATTTGAGCACTGAGGGGTTGAAAAGGCTTAATCCAGGCAAGGGGGCCAAGTTTCCTGTTGATCCTATTGTGAATGTGATCCACATGAAATTTCTGTGTAATAGTCCACCAAAATAAGAGAATGAGTTTACTTCCTCTGAGGGCTTGCTACCAGCCAAAATCACAAGCTTGATTAGGTGAGCAGTGGTGCTGCGTAACATAGAATATTGATGCTCTTTGTTCAAGGTGAACCAGTAAGCTTGCATCCAGATGCCATCATTTCCCTTTGCTCCCCTTTCCTTCACCCTCCATCCCCCTTCTCTTGGTCTCTGTAATGATACAATTCTGGATCGTAACACAATGATATTATTGTTACCTCACTGCTTAACTTGTAAGCAGTAATCTAAGATTAGGACATCCATTGTGTTACACTTTCTGAGTGACTTTTAGATGGCACCATAAAATACCAGTTAAAAGCCCACCTCCCCCTCAACTTGAAAATAAGTCCCACCCAAAAATAATCCCTCAATTTTGTAAGATGCAAAATGCTTTCAACGTAAAAATGAAAAAAAGGCCTTCCAGAAAGTGCCTGTTAAACAGAAATTTGACTAAGTTGTGTTAATTGTAATGTTTCAATGTTACAGTAAACTTCAGTCAGTAGTTAATTTCATTTTCAGGGTGGCCCGAGTGCTACACACAGCATTCTATATTCACTACACATTTGAGCGTTCAACTCATGATTTGTACGTAATCAGGCATAAAGCCACTTTCCACTGGTCTCAATGTTTGTATGCCAGAATCTTTGTACTAAATAACAGAAGTGTACATATTAGATAATCAAGTTAAGGTCTTGAATTGGTTTTTATTGTTTCATGCAGGGGAAGCTATAACGGATTTGGTAACTGTGAAGAGAGTCATAGAAACAAGGCATCTTGATGTGGTATGTTTAAGTTAGCAATGATATAAATTATTAATAATATTATTATTACTGAACAAGCTTGTTTGGTTTAGGAGGCTGGATTTCGGCCTCATTCTGTGGACTGAGGAGCATAAACACTCAGAAAAAGAATGTGACCAAAATTCAGGCATCTTGACTTTACGTTTGGTCAGTAGCCCATAATATATTTATTAACTGGGGAAAATATTTCCAAGTTCTATGAACTGAACAGGAGTCGAACCTATTTAGCCAACTTTCTGCACAGCGGTCAAATGCTTTACCATACACTAGGACACTCTGGGGTGCTAGGTCGCCTTCAATACATTTATAAGCCAGAGGAACAACAATCAAGCTTTTTTTTGCTTGAATAAAATGTTTCTTTAATAGATAGGTAAAGTTGATCATGACTAGTTTACTCTTGTCTTCTCTTAATTAAAATGTGTTGTGTAACTGAGGATTGTTGAAATTTGATGTGTCCATGCTTTTTCAAAAAAGACTTGATCTTCATAGTAGACCATATTGATAAGAAAAAAGTAAAATTTGAAAATTGTCAATAAATGTTTCAGAGATGATGTGATGATCTTAATTTTGTGTAATCCTTTTCAAGGCTGTAACATTGTGTGTGATTAACTTTTTGATAATCCTGGTCATAAATATTGACACCTTATTGTAAAAACATAGTTGAGGTACAAGTAGTATATGACCCTAAAAAAACAATATCTAAGGCATTTGTTTATCTATTTGTTTTATTGGGTGGAATAATTACGGTGTGGATTACAATCACAATAATTTATTATGAAATCCTAGCCCTAGAGTGTATATATAATAAATAATCAGTTTGGATAAAGGAAGCAAAATATTGTTTTTGCACCAATGCAAGCAGTGTGCACAGAAGAAAGCCAAATATTTTTGCTGATTGAACAAAATTTAAAGTAATGCTTGCTGAAGCATTTATCATGTTGAAGTTTTTTCCCTTTATTTAATTTGATCATTATTTAAACTTGAGTAACCATTTGAGTAGAATAAATGGGAAATTATGAAAAGTTTTTATTTGAATGACTTGATAAACTGGAAAGCTATCACAAATTATTAGCTTAAAATAAATACTAGCATTCAAGATAACTGTTTGTATGTCTCAAATATGCCATACTGATGATCAGGTAACCATCTCAACGTTTATTTTTCTGAATGTTGGAGCACTCTTTATGGGACACAGTTGACGTGACAGTTAAACCAAAGTTCTACACAGCAATTCTCAAACAGTCATATGCATTGCCATAAATAACACCTACTGTTTATTGTTTTAAAGTTTGACCTTGACTCAGGTTTTCTTTGTAAATTATATTTTTCAATAATATTCAGACTTTGACAAATGCTCGTAACAGAACCTGAAAGTCGGGTATAAAACTGATCTGGATTTAATTTATTTTTTGGAGCTTTAACACATGTATCTTTATTTATTCATAAACTAGGAACATAATGATCTAGAATTAATTATTAATTGCACAGATTATCTATGCAAAGAAGAGAAAATGTATATGATATATAGACTGTCAGATAATTTCTAAACCCCACTCCAAGCTTCTCTCAAAAATGCATTGCACTGTCTTATACTTTTGTGAGGTTTTGCAAATCACATATTATGAGCTTACACACTTACTGGCTGAGAGGGAAAACAGGGCGGCAGAAGCTACATGTAAGCTACAGCATGCTAGACAACAATGTGTTTTATCATTATACATAAAACCACCAGGACTTGAGCGAGCCAGTTTTACTTTAAAATTGAACAGTTGTATGTAAAAACAAAATGTTTTGAATTATCTCATTAATGGTCAGCTGGACGCAGTGACAAGCTCATGTCAAACTGTTCAAACCGGGTCACTCACATCAGCTGTGCTCTTGAGTTCTATTGGATTGTATTAATTAGGAGAAAAATTGGATGGTAAGAATTCTCCCTCGCATTATTAAACATTTATCATTTTTTAATCAATACATGTACATGTACTTAGTGGTTAAGATGAAATGTCAAATAGTTTGTCTACTTTTTAGTTAAAGTACCTTCAGAATGACCTCATAACTCCATTGGAAAGGCTTGTTGAGTTCGATGTTCTGAACATCAAGGTAAACCGAATATTACTTGATCGATTCACGAGTATCAGATTGTACAAATTCTTACAGTGTATAAAAAATTGTTTTTTTTTTGTTTTTTTTTCAGTAATTTTTAATTTGCAAAACACGATAATTACATATTTCATTGCTTACGATACAAGTCTGTGAAACTGCTGACATTACAATACTCTGCTTACAGAACCTTTCCTACAATATTTACCAAGGCTCGAAATTAAAAAAAAATTCCAAGTCGCCTTTTGGCAACTATCAAAAACAAATTGGTCACCAAATGCAAATCGCAATTTCGAGCCCTGTTTACAATTAATACAGGTTACATGTGCAGAAAATACAAAATTTACTCAAGTACAATACTGGCTACTTACCTTTAGCTACTAAAAATATTTACCGGGTATTATGCAGGTGCCATTTAGTATCTTTATTGATTCTTATTAAGTACTTATTTAAAGAGTTTGCTTGTTATTATAATGAATTCTTATACTTGTACCTATATGTATGTTAATAAAAGGCGCTTTAGTTTGGGATATAGATTTAGTAAGCAGAGAAATATTATTACATGTAATGAAATGAAATTCATTTTAGTATATGTGATGCTTAACAGCAGCACATATACTAAAATTGGAACGATAAAGAGAAGATTAGCATGGCCCTGCGTAAGGATGACATGCGAATTCGTGAAGCATTCCAAATTTTTTTAAGGGAGGCGCGCTCATCTCTGGATCGAGCGGTCCGGGTTCGAGCCCTGGCTGGGGACATTGTGTTGTGTACTTGGGTAAGACACTTTACTCTCACAGTGCCTCTCTCCACCCAGGTGTATAAATGGGTACCGGTGAACTTAATGCTGGGGGTAACCCCGCGATGGACTAGCAACCCATCCAGGGGGGAGTAGAAATACTCCTAGTCACTTTATGCTATGGAAACCGGGATAAGCTCCGGCCTGATGGGCCACTTGGCTTGTATACAGACTTTACCTACCAGACAAAAATAACAAAATTAATGTGAGCTGCATTTGTACCAATCTCCAGGAAATAATATTTATTAGCTAATTTTTGATATATTGAGACACATACTGGATGTGGTTGTCCAAATCTTCCTTGGTAGCTAAAATGTTTTTGTGCTTAACTATCCTTCCTACTAGAAATAGTTTTGCTGATTAAGCTTGCTGTAAGTGGAAGCCCTAGTTGAAAGTTAATTTCATTTTTTTTTAGTCTGCTCAGAAGAACTACAACCAAGAGAACAAAACTAGAAGTGAGGTTAGTTCCTGGTACATTAAAGGGAGAGAAATATTCAAGATACCTGACAGAGGGGAAGTGTAGTTGATTTGTGTGAAGCAAAATGATTAATAAACCCACATCCTTGCATTATTCAAGCCATGTTTTATTTCATATCATGAGGAATCATAAGATTAGACTTAGTATTGAACAACTACCCAGTCCTTGACATCACAAGAAGTTTGTGGCCATCTGGTTTTGATGTTTCGGGTAACAGGATCGAGTGCTTTAAAAAAAATAATAATTTAATACTTTTGTGTTGTTTTGTTTTTGGAGGGGATAGAGGGGGTGCGGTTGGCTTGCTTAATTAGACCTCAGTTATTATTTTTTCTTGACCTGGGTAAACACTGTTCACGATTGATTAGTGCCCATGTTTGGTCTAGATAAGACGAAAAAGCTATCAGATTGAAATAATTTTCAGTAACAGTGTGGTTCCTGTTTACCATGTTCTGGGCAGTAAATTAATGGTGAATAGGATACTGTTACTCTTTTAATTAAGCCTTTGAACTCTGTGATTTTCTTTTTTTTTTTTTCTGCTGTAGTTAGTGGAGAAAGCCAAGGGGGAATTACTTAAGGTCAGGAAAAAGAGTCAAAGGAAAAAGCCAACAGAGAAATATGAAGAGAAAGAGAAACAGGTACAAGCTGTAAATTTTTAGGGTGATCAGAGTGCAGAGTGAAAACAAGCACTCCAGGTTTTCCTTTGGATTAGTCCGAGCTGTTGTTTGCCAACTAAAAGATCAAAATTGTTGTTTGGTGAATCTGCTAAATTCCAACAGAAAAATCCAGCCACAAGGTTGTACTTTCTGTGCACACTGGTGGTGTTGTGGTTCAATATTACCCTGGGTATGATTTCTGATTTTTGTTTGTTTCATATTCATTGTGAGGGCTAAAAAATTAGGGGGATGCTATTTTGCAAGCATGCAAGCTCAAGCCTTGAGCCGCAGGCCATGAGTCTCTTTTTGTGACCCCTGAAAGATTCCCACCCAAAAATCCAAAAACGGGCGTAATGCCCTAGTATGATATTTATTACATGCGGGATGCTTCCATTATCCCAATACCCGAGGAAAATGGAACAACATTTTCAGACGAAACATGGTTAACAAAGAGGAATTGGACTGTTACCATTTTTTATTCCTTTTCCAAACTCCCTAAATAAATGAAGAGAAGTAGGGCAGTGAACTGGTTTGTCATAAACGGAATGACAACTTTTGGTCAGACTGGTCTAACCGAAATAAGTGGACCACCTCCAGAGGTGATCCTGAATATTCTGGTTGGAAGAAACCGAAATGGACCTTTCCATTTGACTTCCGACCGAAATTTCAGGAATATTTGGCATAATGGAAAACACCCGCAGTCTTCATGTGTC